AATTTTTTATTTTTATTTTTGTAGAAATGAAGTCTATTATGTTGCCCAGGTTGGTCTCAAACTACTGGGCTCAAGCAATCCTCCCACCTCTGCCTCCCAAAGTGCTGGGGTTCTAGGCATGAGACACTGCACCTGGCCCCAAAAAATTTTTTTTCAATCAACCATGTTAGAAGACTGATTTGTCTTTCTATTTATAGAAAAATAATAAAATCATTGCTATGATGAGCATGTGGTCCAAAGTTGTAGAAAAATGTATTATAGTGGCATGTCAGGTACTTAAGTAAAAATATTTTATTGTTCTGATTTAGTGATTATGATATTAGTCAGCTTTCTAAAGTTTGTAATTTATGGGGATGGGTACAGTAGCTCACACCTGTAGCAATTTGGGAGGACAAGGTGGGAGGATCACTTGAGGCTGAGTTCCAGACCAGTCTGGGCAGCATAGCAAGATCCCATCTCTACCAAAATTGTTTTTTAATTAGCCAGGTGTGTTGGTACACACCTGTAGACCTAGCTACTTGGGAGGCTGAGGCAGGAGGCTCACTTGAGCCCAAGAATTTAAGGCTGCATTGAACTATGATCACACCACTGTACTCCAGCCTGGGTGACAGAGCTGGACTCTAAGTAATAATAATAATAATAAAGTTTTTTATTTGTGGGAATTTATTTCTCACTATAAATATGTATAAATATGATATGATATAAATATGTAATGATATAAATATGTGATTTTATTTCAGTAATTTTATATATCTCCTTAGAGAGTTCCCCCAATTTTTTATGAATTTCAGTTTCCAGAAAGTCTGAGTTCACCTAGTCCTGATGTAAAAGATATTTGTTATATGGGGTATCTGTTTAAAAGATTGAAAACCTCTGGGCTGAATAGATGGTCTCAAGGATTTTTTTCCAGTTCCAGAATTCTCTTACTGTGTGGGAACCACAGTCTTTTCCCTTCCTCCCAGCCCCAGCAGCTGCAACTCTGATAGAAAGACAAGGAAGTTCTTCTTTGGAGCTTATCCAAGTCTTTTCTGCTGTCCTTGGAGTCGTCCTGTAAGGAGGCAGGGAAACAAAGTGCCAGTGTGCAGAGTTGTGGTGGGGGGAATGGGGGAGAGGTGAAGACAGGTGCTTTGGAGGTACATGTTTTGGGGGAAGGGAATGAAAAGAGTTGGACCAAAGCCCTACTCCTGGACAATGGAATTAGAGGCCTCTCCCAGTATAACAATAGTAGTCACCATTTGGAGTCTTTTTTTTTTTTGTCAGGGTCCTACTATGTTGTCCAGTCTGGAGTACAGTGGCACAGTCACGGCTCACCAAAGCCTCAACCTCCTGAGTTCAACAATCCTGCCTCAGCCTTCTGAGTAGCTGAGACTAGAGGTGTGCACCACCATACCTGGTTAATTTTTTTACTTTTTGCGGAGACGAGGTCTTACTATGTTGCCCAGGCTGGTAGACTGGTCTCAAACTCCTGGGCTCAAGCAATTCTCCTGCCTTGGCCTCCCAAAGTTCTGGGATTCCAGGCATAAGCCATTGCACGTGGCTGGGAGCCTTCTTTATTTAGAATGTATGAGTACCCACTGCAGGCTAGGTGATCTACAACTTATTTCTAATCCTCCAGCAACAGAGACCGGAGCAGTGAGGTGACCTGCCTCAAATCAGCCAACTCTGCACACTCCTGCCCTCCAGCCTCATTTCTTGGTTTCCCAAAGATTTAATTTAGAACATACTGTCTCCTGGCCCCTCTGGGGAGGAACTTCCTCCTCATTCTCAGTTCCTTGTTCAGCGGCCCCTCCTGTCTCTCACCTTCACGTGATCTCTGCAGCACTTTGAATAAACCCCACACAGGACTTATCACACACAGGACTTACCACACACAGGACTCACCACACACAGCTCAGCCAGCCTGCAGCTCCCTGGTTGTGGCACCATCTGATCTGAAATGATATTGTTCATTTATGTGTTTATTGGTTTACCTCTCTCTTCACCTCGCCTCTCTCTTCACCACCTTCCCCGCTCCTGCCACAGGACTTGGCACAAGGTGAGCCTCAATAATTACTTGCTCTCGTTTGTAACCTCAACATCAAAGTTACGCTGTAAACTCCAAGTCCTAGAGCATGAGATTTGAAGATGCGCATCTGTCCATCAGCCAATTAATGAGGGGCCATATTTGCATACTGCCTTCCCATTGGTGAAATGCAGGGTCTCTAGTTTCCTTCTGGCCAGTGTGTTGCAGGCCATAGTATCCCTCTCAGGGTCCACACCCTGTAATTCGTACCTTTCTACCTGACGAAAAGGGGTGGGGTGGCAGTGAGGGAAAAGGGGTTGCTCGCACTCTTCACTCCCCAGCCCCTTCCCTCCCCACCTGGTTGGCACATAATTCAGTCATCAGCAAAATGCAACCTTACCTGGTACACCTGAACACCCAGTGTAGGGAGAGGCTGAGGTTATGAGGCTGAGGGGCAGGGAGACCTGGGACCAGGGTCCCACTATGCTGTGCAGAGACCGTCCACACCGTGTAGTCAGAATTTGGGAGTGGGTCTGCGTGAGCTTATCTTAGATCTGGGGGCAGCAGAGCAGGCTGGCACGTGTTTTCGGGGAGCCGGGGTGGACTGAGCACAGGTCAAGGCTCTCTGACTTTGTGAGACTCTCACTTTAGGCTGTGCATTCCCGGGCCACACCTTACAGAGTCCCAGCTGGATCTGAGAGTGTGCAAGAGTCTGCATTCTTAACGACTCTGCAGAGGATTCTGACACAAGTGGTCACCTGGAGAAAGTCAGCAGGGTGGACCCAGCTGCACCTTGGAGATTAAGCAGAACGTGTGGCCTCCGGCAAGATTTTCTGTAACCTCTCTGACCTTCCATTTCCTCCTCTTCGACACGTGGAGACTAAATACCTCCCTCAAGTGATTGGTGTGATGTGTATGAGAAAGTCATGGCACATAACGATGAGTTAATAAATGTAACAAATTCTCTTGATTATGCAGTTAGAGCAAGGGCAGTGAAACTGTCACGAGGCAGATTCCCACTTACCCTGCATTCCCCCAAGACATGAAAAGTCCAAGCCAGGCTTGGTGGCTCAGCCTGTAATCCCGCGCCTTGGGAGGCTGAGGTGAGTGGATTGCCTGAGCCTGCGGGTTCGAGACCCGCCTGGGCAACCTGGCGAGACCTCATCTCTACAATAAATCAAAAAATTAGCCGGGTGTGGTAGCGCGTGCCTGTAGTTCCAACTACTTGGAAGGCTGAGGAGGAAGGGTCGCCGGAGCCCAGCAGGTCGAGGCTGCGGTGGCCGGCAGTGGCCACTGCACTCCAGTCTGGGTGACAGAGTGAGACTCCAACTCTAAAAACAACAAAAACAAAAACAAAAAAGTGATGCCTGGCTGGACGCAGTGGCTCAGCCTGTAATCCCAGCACTTTGGGAGGCCGAGGTGAAGGGATTGCGCCTGAGTCCAGGGATTCGACACCAGCCTGGACAACCTGGTGAGACGTCATCTCTACAATACATCATAAAAACTAGTCGGGTGTGGTGGCGTGCGTCTGTGGTTCCAGCTACTTGGAAGGCTGAGGCGGAAGCATCGCCTAAGCCCAGCAGGTCGAGGCTGCGGTGGCCGTGAGCGTGCCACTGCACTCCAGCCCGGGTGACAAGAGTGAGACCCCAATTCAAAACACAAAAGAAGTGACGCCTGACTGTGTGGTTATGGTTGGCCCTCAATCAAGGCAGTAATCGCGGTTTGCATTTTATTTCAGCAATAATTCATTTCAGTAATAAAATAAACAAGAAAGAGCCGTAGGTGCGTATCATGTTACAGCTTTGCGGGGCGCAATAAACACACACATCACTTTCCCGTATAATTGTAACAGCCCGTGGGAGAGGATTCAGAAAAGCGCCCCAGTCCGCTGAGTGGTGGAGTTTAGGGGAAACACCGACCCAGCACAACCCCCTCGTCCCCCGGATGAGGTCGCCGCGGCTCTGCAAGGTGAATCGAGGTCACTCGCCCGGGCGACGGCCGAGCAGAACCGGATTCGCCGGATTCCCGGGTGTGGGTCGCGCCCTCCGCGGCGCAGGGCCGCCGGGGAGACGCCACGCGCCGGCT